TCTCTCTCTCTCTCTCTCTCTCTCTCTCTCTCTCTCTCTCTCTCTCTCTCTCTCTCTCTCTCTCTCTCTCTCTCTCTCTCTCTCCACACACACATTATAGGCTGTGTGCACACAGCCTATAATGGCAAATGTTATTCGAAACCTTCTAATGCTTCCCACTCCCAAAATGGGTAAAGTTCGGATAAATGCTAATGTTATGATTCTGTTTTTTTTGTTTTTTTTTTTTTAACACACGCCCCCGTCAGTGTTAGTGGTGCTGATAAAAAAAAAAAAAAGAAGTTATGATTCTGGTTGTCTGTTGTCTGAAGACCAACACTCACTCACATAGACTCCCAGGTATGCCCATACATACACAGAAGGAAGGGGAGAGGACAGGAGTATCACACCGCACCGCAGAGGGAGAGAGAAACACAGTGGAAGACTTGACCATGCGATATGACAGGGTACACTGAAAGTGCAATTCACTCCACTCAATCCTCACAACCAGTCATAAAGGAAAGCCGAGTAGATCACATCCAAGAAACAATGAAGCAATGATAGTCCAACAAACCCAGTATCAACACTGTTTATGAAACTCAGAGTCTCCAATTGTCAGAATAACCTCAGAACTTTGATGCGCTGCTCAGAGATGAGCAGCGCTTCACTCCCCAACCCTGATGAACCGCTATCACTACCCCTGAGTCCCCAAAACATCAAGCGCCAGCCACATACTGCCTCCAGAGGGAAGCGCCACCCTGAAACAGGCCTCTGAGGCCAAGCGCCTCTCCGAGGATGAAGACGAAGACCAGTGCCACAGTATCTGATGATGACGAAGTGTCGAAAGACTTCCCGGGTGGAAGTCTGCAGCAGCGCCACCACTCCTGGCAAGATGACCTCTGAGGAAGAAGCTGCAGCTATGGCTGCAGCGTCACTACCCTGGAACCCCACTCCGGAGGAGGGTCCAGCAGGGCACCAACTTCCCTCGCCTCCAGCAGACCTCTGATAGCCCATACCTCTGTACAGCCCCGCGTGCTGACACAGTACATCGCAGGTCCCAGCTATGGCCGGCACTCCGAAGGTCTGGCTATGTCTCTCTCCCTCAACGCTGAGTCGTCACCGCTTCCAGTTCACGTGTTGCACAGCAGCGATGTACTCGGTACCAACTGCCAAAAGCCCTGAACCGATGTGCCCATCCCATCTATAACCTACACTAGCCTAGACACGACCTAGACCGGACTGACTGGACTGACCGGTATCGTTTCAGTTTCGGCCTCTCGAGAGGCCTCTACCTTACCTGTCTATAGGCTATAGGACCGTCTATCAGCATAGGCCTGTAGGGCCTGTCTGTCCTAGGGGTACGCGTTGCACAGCAGCGACAGCGATGTACTCGGTACCAACTGCCAAAAGCCCTGAACCGACCGGACTGACTGGACCGACCAGTACTGCTTCAGCTTCGACCTCTCGAGAGGCCTCTACCTCACCTGGCTATAGGTTATAGGACCGTCTATCAGCATAGGCCTGTAGGACCTGTCTGTCCTAGGGGTAGTTCGGGCCTGCTAATCGCAGTTAGGGTAGCTGTAGGAAATTCCAGTTAGTACAGGCCTATATTTTCCCAAATTTGCAGATATGTCCCTCACGAATTTCCTCAYAGTCAGCTGTCGCGGTTAGCCCTCAGTCAAACAAAATTACGAATCTAACCTAAGATGCGACCCGACCGAGGCAAGCCCCGAGCTTCGCCCTCGGCCCAATGTACAGTCCACTGAGAATCTGCAGGCTTCATTACACTAAACTCTGAAAGGTGAAGTAAAATTAATTGGCTTGTATCGTGATATGCAGGACTCCTTTACGACAGAGAGTGGCTGCTGATGGATCCAGTATCAGGGAATGCTCTGACACAGAAGAAGGTCAGTCTTTGACAGTCAGCTGCTGTGCTTCAGCAGTCTGGTCTCAGCCATGAACAGTGGTTCTTCATTTGGGTCCCTCCCCTTCTGCTGTCTGCCTCCCTGCTGCCCCCCCCCCCACCACCACCTGCCTTTCACCTCACCCTTTTTCGATCTCAGCTGTGTTTGCTTCTATCTGTTGATTAGGTCTCGCCTGCCGACAACAGGAACACTTTGAACAAAATTTCTGATTTTACCTTGGTGAACCATATAGCCCTTGACGAGGGAAAAAAAAAAAAACCGCCCTCGACGAGTCGCCGAACTCGTGCATGCCCCGCGAGGCGAAACAGCAGAGCATCATCGCCTCATGCATGTCATTACGTCTCTCCCCAAAGGGTCATTGGTGTTGTGATTTTTGGATTTCGACCAAGGTTGGGGGTGATAAATTCACCCCCCCCCCCCCGCCCCCAAAGGGGAAGTAGCCCCTTACATTATTGTATGCTACTATGCATCAGGATTCAAACTTAAAAGCTGTTTGTGAACAGTTATAGGTGTTTGCCATTCACCCACCGGGAGGTAGGTAGGGGGGATGTGGTTGCATTTCTGATGTCACTCGTTTCACACTTTGTGCTTTTCTCCCCACATGATATGTCAGGAGACACTGATCTCTCTCTCTCTCTCTCTCTCTCTCTCTCTCTCTCTCTCTCTCTCTCTCTCTCTCTCTCTCTCTCTCTCTCTCTCTCTCTCTCTCTCTCT